ATTCAAAGAAGAACTAATACCCATTCTCCTCAAACTATTTCAAAAAATTCAAGAAGAAAGATTTCCAAACTCGTTTTATGAGTCCAGAAAAAGACACTACAAGGAAAGAAAACTACAGGCCAATATTTCTGATTAACATAGATGTCAAAATTCTGAACAAAATACTTGCAAATCGAATCCAGCAATACATCAAAAAAATTCTTCACCATGACCAAGTGGAATTCATCCAGGGATGAAAGGCTGGTACAATATTCACAAATCAATAAATGAGATACACCACATAAACAAAATGAAAGATAAATATCATATGATCATATCAATAGACACTGAAAAAACATTTGACAAAATCCAGGACCCATTTCTGAGAATAATGCTCAGCAATGTGGGAATAGAGGGATCATATCTCGACATAATAAAGGCCATATATGAAAGACCTACAGACAACATCATACTCAATGGGCAAATATTAAAAGCATTTTCCTTAAGAACAGAAACAAGACAAGTAAGCCCACTTTCACCACTGTTATTTAACATAGTACTGGAAATCTTAGCCACAGCAATCAGACAGGAAGAAAAAATAATAGGAATCCAAATTGAAAAGGAGGAAGTGAAACTGTCATTATTCGCAGATGACATGATATTATACATAGAAAACCCCAAAGACTCCATCAAAAGTTTACCAGATGTAATAAATGAATTTGGCAAAGTAGCAGGATACAAAATTAATGTCAAGAAATCGATGGTGTTCTTATACACCAATGATGAACTCACAGAAAGAGAATCTAAAAAAAGAATCCTACTTACCATCGCTGCAAAAAAATTAAGATACCTAGGAATAAATTTAACCAAAGAAATAAAGGACCTATTCACAGATAACTACAGGTCATTGAAAAAAGTAATAGAGGAAGATATAAAAAAATGGAAACACATACCTTGTTCATGGATTAGAAGAATTAACATCATTACAATGTCCATACTACCCAAAGCAATCTATGGATTCAATGCAATCCCCATCAAAATACCAATGACATAGTTCACAGAACTAGAACAAATACTTCAAAAGTTCACATGGAACCAAAAGAGACCTTGAATAGCCATAGCAATCTTGAAAAAGAAGAACAAAGTTGGAGGGATCACATTACCAGATTTCAGGTTATACTACAAAGCCACTGTAATCAAAACAGCCTGGTACTGCCACAAGAACAGGCAGATAGACCAATGGAACAGAATAGAGAACCCAGAAATGGACCCAAGGTAATATGCACAATTAATATTTGACAAAGGTAACAAGAGCATACAGTGGAGTAGAGACAGCCCCTTTGATAAATGGTGCTGGAAATTTGGACAGCTACATGCAAAAAATGAAACTAGACCATCAACTTACACCATACACAAGAATACACTCAAAATGGGTAAAAGACTTAAATGTGACTCATGTATCCTTAAAAATCCTTAAAGACAATGTAGGCAACAAAATTTCAGACATCATACGCAGCAGAATTTTCACTGACACATCACCTAAGGCAACAGAAACAAAGGAGAAAATGAACACATGGGACTATATAAAACACAAAAGCATCTGCTCAGCCAAAGATACAATCATCAAAATGGAAAAGCAACCCACTGTATGGGAGAGCATAATTGCCAATGATATATCAGATAAGGGGTTAATTTCCAATATATATAGAGTGCTCATACAACTCAACAAAAGGAAGACAAAGAACCCAATTAAAAATGGGCAGAAGAACTAAATAGACACCTCTCCCAACAGGACATACAAATGGCTAAGAGACATATGAAGAAATGCTCAACATCACTAATCATCAGAGAGATGCAAATTAAAACAACAATGAGGCATCACCTCACACCTGTCAGAATGGCGGCCATCAACAAATCATCAAACAACAAGCATTGGTGAGGGTGGGGAGAAAAGGGGATTCTATTACACTGCTGGTGGGAATGCAGAATATATATATATATATATATATATATATATATATATATACACACACACACACACACACACACACACACACACACAGAGTAACTTTTCTTCCTATATTTATAAACATTTGAAGGCTCTTCGGTATTTTTCTGTTGTTTTTTTTTTTTTTCATGTGGCAAAACTGCTTTTTGAAGGAAAAGGGAGAAAAAGAAAGGAGGGAGAAAGGTATAAATGTGGGATGGAGAAAAACCAGTAAAATGTGCAACAAGTTGCTCAGAGCTCAATGTGGTAGGATTTTAAAATAGCCATCACAATTGGAACTGGTCATTCTTTGAAATTGCTGAAATTACAAAAATAGCTTCAATTAAATGAAATATAAACACTGAATAAAATGATAAATGTGTGGATTCAGATTTTTCTTTCCAGAATCTCCTTAGTGAAAGGAAGGGTCATAGGGATATCTAGTTAAGTAGATTTCAGGTAGAGGAACATGCCTATATTTAAGGATACTCTAGATTCTTTTGCAAATGAGGACAGCAGAAAAATAACTCAACGTATAAAAGGGAAACTTTTGTATATTCATTTCTCTGCATTTACCCTGTGGGGAATAAGAAAAGAGGAGAGCAAGGAGATGTCTGAAAGTTGTAGAAATGATTTCATGGACATTAGATGTAGGTGAACCCAAAGTGCTTAATTAAAGTCTGCTGGGTCCCTCATGGTTTTAGCTACTGACCAGAAAATTCCTCATTCCATGTTCACAACTCCTCTACCCATTCATTAGGGAACATTAAAATTGGTGGCTAGCAGCTTTCTGTCTCGACTTGAGCTCAATAAATATATGCTGCACCTCTGTATAATACAGACCTTGCTGTGAGCTTTGTGGGAGGATGAATGCAGCAACATGATCTTAGACACACCCCCAGAAGAGGAATTGTGCCTGTATTGAAGAGACAGAAAGGAAAAGCATGAAAGGCTATCCCAGAGATGTCCACAGATTGGCAGATGACCCCCGCAGCCAGTGGATTAGGGTTTATGACATTGACTGGGTGCCATTACATAAGGCGCAGATAGAAAGAAGAGACATTGGAGAGGAGAAAAAAGTTGATGTGTAATGCACAGTGAATGATAGTGATATGAGGAACTGACTCTTCAGGCATCTAGCAAGAGTAATACCGGCTCCCAACAACTGGGTGGTAAGTCTTATGCTTCCCAAGTTTATCCCCATAATTCTTCATGACCAACTTTTCCAATAATAATCCCTTCACCCCACCAGCCCTGCACTCACTTATTTACTCCCCCTCTGCCACTCCACTCTCTTTTCCTGCCAGGTAACACTCACATGCCATCTCTTTACTCTGGAATAAGTCAGGTGCTGTGATTGTTCTTGAAGGACTCCCATTCTAATCCTGATTGTATTTGAGGAAGAAAAACTTTACCCCTAAAAGAGTCAGTGATCCATGGATTGGGGTGTCATATAATTAAGCAGAGAAGAGCACACCTGTTAAATCAAACTGCTGAGATGACTTATTATTTCATTCTAACGCTATGTCAGCTGATAGAGCCTTCCTGTCATAGAAGGATGCCTACTGACTTGATTCCTTCACCTGAAGTGTACCTGCAGAAACCACAGCAGCTTCTTAAATTATTGGCATATTCCACCACATTCGGCATACAATTAACTGATCGTAAGCTTGTTGACATAAAGTAACTTTATTGAAGAATCTACAAAAAGATAAAATAACATAACCTTATTTTCATAAACTCAAAAGCACTTCTATAAGATATGACTTGACGATTTCTTACTTCCAAATATAAAATATAAAAAGTAATGGTTTTGATCAGAGAAGAACTTTTATATAAGTCCTAAGAGCCCACGTTTGCAGAAAATACAGTCATCAGTGAATGGAAAAGTGCATAAATTCTCTTCAGTTACTCTACACTACTCTCCTGAATCATTGCTCATATCCCAACATCTGCCCTATTTCATTTCTATTTCTCTATATGGCATTTGATTCCTTTTAAGAAAACTGTCAGTTTACCCTTTATTTTCTATTAATTTCTTATGACTGAGCTCACAAAATGGTATACATGTTCCAAATTAATTATAGTTCATTAAGAATTAATACGCCTAGCCCTGGCCAGTTTGGCTCAGCATTGGCCCATGGTCCAGAGAGACCTGGGTTTGGTTCCTGCTAGGGGCACATACCTCAGTTGTGGTTTGTCCCTGGCCCCAGTTGGTGTCATGTAGGTGGCAGCCAGTTGATGTGTCTCTCTCACATCAATGTTTCTCTCTCTCTCTTCCTCCTTTCTACCAGTAAAATAAAAAGTAGCAAATAACATTGACCAAGAATTGACAAAAGTATATAGATTTGAATATTTTTTCTTAAAGTTTTTCTTCACATTCTTTTAAAAGAACATTCAGTCTTACACAGATACAGAAATCTGTAATTATATGTATAATTATGTATATGTAAATAAAATCATAAATGTATTATGCTGCTTAGTATCTACTGTTGGTATCACTATTCTGTTTCATAGCAAGTCTTTTACACTAAAATCCTCATCAGAGTCTGAGAATTTGCTTGTCCAAACCAACTGTCCCTTACTTAAAGACAAATAGAAATAATAGAATATTAAGTTAACTGAAATGTGGGATATGGAGAGATTCATCAAATTCTGATTAAAATAAAATTTCCAAGCAAAATAAACAAGTCTGTTTTTTTTTTGTTGACAGGTCTGAAAAGGAAATGACGGACAGGTCACCATTTTATTTCCTTACCCAGGTGATTTTGCTGGTTCTAATGCAGTTGGTCTGCCATGCATATAACATCTTATTGTGATAAAGTGCTGTGGACACCCTTTCTGAAAACAGTAATATGATTCTGTGGATCTGTGCTTTCCCTTCAATGTGTCAATGAGATGAATAATACGATCTTAGAGTTCCACCCAAAACACACAGACTCAGAATGAGTTTGGATAAAAACAAGATGCAGAAGAGGAACACTAGCACGGACTAACTTCTTTTTTTTTTGTATCTGGAGGCCCAAAGATAATTATGTTCAATTCCAACATCACTGTTTTTATGCCTTCTGTGTTGACACTAATAGGGATCCCAGGCCTAGAGTCTGTGCAGTGCTGGATTGGAATTCCATTCTGTGCCATGTATGTCATTGCTGTGATCGGAAATTCTTTATTTCTGAACATCATCAGATCAGAACGCAGCCTCCATGAGCCCATGTATATATTCCTAGGTATGCTAGGAGTCACAGACATTGTACTTAGTACCAGTGTTGTACCCAAAATGCTTGCAATTTTTTGGTTTCATGTGCAAGAGATTTATTTTGATACGTGCCTGTTTCAGATGGGGCTCATCCACACATTTCAGGTCATAGAGTCAGGCATCCTTGTGGCCATGGCCCTGGACCGTTATGTGGCCATCTGTTATCCACTAAGACATGCTGCCATCTTCACCCACCAGCTAGTCACCCAAATAGGGACTATGATAACCCTCAGGGCTGCTATTCTAGTAGCTCCAACCCCCATTCTGATAAAATGCCGACTTCAATTTTATCATACCACAGTCATTTCCCACTCCTACTGTGAGCACATGGCCATTGTAAAACTGGCTGCTGAAAATGTTCAGGTTAACAAAATCTATGGTTTGTTTGTGGCCTTCACTGTTGCAGGGTTTGACCTCACATTCATCGCATTGTCCTATATACAGGTATTTATCACAGTGTTTCATTTGCCGCAGAAAGAGGCTAGGTTGAAAACATTCAACACTTGCATTGCTCACATTTGTGTCTTTCTCCAGTTCTACCTCCTTGCCTTCTTCTCCTTCTTCACACACAGGCTTGGTTCTCACGTCCCCCCCTATATCCATATTCTCTTTTCTAGCATGTACTTGCTGGTCCCTCCATTTCTCAATCCACTTGTCTACGGTGCAAAAATCAATCAGATCCGCATTCACGTGGTAAAAATGTTTTGTTTATGAAGTCCACTGTGATTAATACCTACTTGTCTTCCTTTTAATGCAATAGTAGTGATCACGCAAAACAAAACAAGCAACATAAACTCATGTTATTTAAAATAATTTAATTTTTATTTAATACTTTTGTGACATTTGCCAGGATGATAGTTAATTTTCAGATCATCATAGCTCATGATAGCTATCAATCAATGGAGGTTGTGGATCCTACAATAGCAACAAGAGTAAGAAATGTAGAAAGAGCAAAATATTGAAAATATATTCTTTACTTTTCTTTGATTTGTTTCTGGTTAAACTTCCTCCTCTAAGAATCCTTCTCCAGAAGAATTCACAAATTATGCTTCTCTTCCTGAATTCAAATGTACTCAAAGCTTATTGTTTTGAGGAGTCTGAGTACACAATAAAAATAAGTTGCTGACTCTCTTCACATCTTGGTCATCCCAGTCATCTTTAAAACAAAATTAAAGAAAATGTACCTTAATCATGTACTATCCACAAAAACAAAAACAAAAACAAACAAGAAACTTTATGACACTGATGAGACAATAAAGTCTAAAAAGTCTAGTACATTTCTAGGGTCATTTGGGGAGATAACGAGCACAAAAATCACGAGGTGTTCCATTTTACACATCAATACTTTTTCTGATATTTACTATTTACTTTTTATTAATTCATCTAGTGTCATAAAAAACACACAACTGTAAATATTGTTAGAGGATGGTGGCATAATGATAAATTTGACACAAGGCTTAAGTTTCATGAGTTTTCTGCCCTGGCAGCCCTATATTTATGATAGAGAAAGCAAGAGAGAGATAAAAAAAAAAAAAAGAGTGAGATAGATGAGAAAGAAGTAGTAATACCCAGGGAACATGAGGTTAAAAAGAGAGTAAAGCATTGAAATCTAAGGAAAGCAGTAGTCAAGAGAGTTACATTTGTTTTGTTTTAATTAGGAAGTCTGATTTTTGAGAAACGATGAATACACGGACAAGCAAGTAAGGACACACCATGCCAGGTAGATGATAAAGCAGATTTAAACTAGAGAATATAGTTTAAGGTAACTACACAGTTAGTGTTGTTTTAAATGTAGATACAAGGTGTTCATCAATAGATGAATGGATAAAGAAGATGTGATACATTTATAGAATAAAATGCTACTTAGTAATAAAGAAGAAGGAAATATTGTTATTTGTAACAACATGGATGGACTCAGATGGCATTATGCTGAGTGAGGTAAGTTAGACACAGAAAGACAAATACCTTATGGTTCTATTTATATGTGGAATCTAAAAAATAAAACAAACAAAAAACACTCATAGAAACAGAGACCAAAGGGATGGTTGTCTGGGGGGAGGTCAGTGGGGGGGGGGGGTGAAGAAAAATTGTACAGGGAAATACAATCAATAATATTGTGATAAGTTTTCACTGCAACAAAAGATAGGCCCTAGAATTAGTTGCTACAAATGGCAAGAAATAACATGCCCGGGAGAATATAGGCAGTTGAGAGAAAGGCTCTGGTCTGTCTTGTAGCTGGAGTCAGATCCATGCATAGCCTGGCATTGGGAAGCACGCTAGGTGGGACAACAGAATATCTTACTGGTCATTTATTTATGTTATCATTTATTTTATTGAATCCTAAATCAGATGCCATGAAAGTTTTTTATGTTAAAGTATTCATTTCAGTGTCTTTAATGTATTATAAAGATTGTCTAACCATCACCACTACCCAATTCCAGAATATTTTCATCATCCTAAAAGAAACAATATTCCGTTTCCTCCATCACCCCCACCCCCAATAGACCAACCCCCAGTCTTGCCAACCACTAATTTACCTTATGTCTCAACAAATTTGCCTTTCTGGGTGTTTTATGTAAACGGAGCATGAAATATGTGAATTTCATTTATGCATCATATCAGTACTGTGTTCCTTTTTTTGACCGAATAATAGTCCATTGTATGGATATAGCACATTTTGTTTAGCTATTCATAGGTTGATAGATTGTTTCTACTTTTTGGTTATTATTAACCATCATTATAAAAGCATCACTAAAGGTCTCACTTGAGGTTATTTGTAATCAATTTAAAAATAAGTCCAGTTAGCATTTTTATGCATTTTTCTTCAGTCATTTTATTTGCATAGGAGAAGGAATGTGCAAAGTAGGTATTCTGATTTAGACAGGTATCAGATGAGATATATGATGAGGCCAGAATGGGGTAAAGGAGTTGACAATATGGCAGGTAATCACAGTAAGATGGGATATGAACTACAAAAGGAATGAAGGACAGTAGAAATAGGGTACTATTAACAGTTTAGATATACCTCATTGTGTAAAAGTATTGTTGAAACTAGAATGAGAAAAAGTGAGCAACTAAAATATAAGAAAAATATAGGAGATAATAAATACCAGGTGTATGTTATCTATTACCTTTGGAAGAAGGGTGGGAAATGCTGTTGAGGTGAAATAGAAGTGTAATTTAATTATGTGAATACTTTCCCCAGTAAATAGCTGATGTGTAATTGGGTTTTTCAGTTATTATGCCTAATTTCTTTTTTCTGTATATGTTATTATGTAATTTATTTAAAAAATAAATGTTAATGTATATCTGATGTAGTATTTAGCAAACAAATCAATTTAACATAGTATATACAGTGCTTTCACATTCATAGTAAAGCTATCTTCTAATGTGTTATGATTTGTTTAACAAATATTTGTCAAGATTATTTTGTTTTGAGTACTGTGGTTGGAATTTGGGATAAGGCATTGACCATAAAGATACATCCCTGCTTTTACATTTACATTTAAGATACATCCTATGCATAAATATCATCTTTGTATAATGTTTAAAATTTAAATTAAAATAACAGCATATCCAGCATCCATATGTGTTCTGCTAATTAAAGATTTCTTCATGACAAAATATAATGTAAATGATAAGCATATTGTGGATATATCTTTCATAAAATGTTAAAATAATTATAATACAAAAATGATATATGTAATGTAATCATTAAAAGTAACCAATGAAGCCCTGGCTGGTGTGGCTCAGTTGGTTGAGCATCATCGCATGCACCAACAAGTTGTTGGTTTGGTTCTAGGTCAGGGCACCTACCCTGATTGCAGGCTGAATCCCTAGTAGGGGGCATGCAGGAAGCAGCTGATCAATGTTTATCTCTTTCTCTCTCTCTCCTTTTCTCTCTAAATCAATAAAAACATTTTTAAAAAACTATGAATGCAAATTTCTAAAGACACGCATGCCAAAGATTAATGCTATTTGACTTTGGTTGGTGAGATTATGGGTATATTTTCCCTTTTATTGCATTAATTAATTGTATGCAATAAGCATGTAAAAGAAAAAATGTATATATATATGTGTTAAATTAATTATATATTAAAGATATTTAAGAGTATAGACATCCCTGTGATCAAGTATTGGAAAAAACCTATGGTCTCCTTCTCTAGAAGAATGGACTTCATCCTCTGTCTTTGTAGACAGGGTATATATTACCTCTGTATTGCTGATTTTTTGCCCTGATCCCTAGCAAACCTTACTACATACAAAGCATACAATAAATTCTCTTCTTCCATGGGTACCTTGCCAATTGACATACTGCAAAGTGGCAGAGCTACCATTCAAACCCAAGTTTAAGCACATGCTCTCATTTAAAAAATATTTTTTGTCGGAACAAATATGTGCTGTTTGCTATTCAGCACAGCTTTACCTGGTCATTCAATAAACATTGATTAAGGACCCAATAAAGTCTAGGTATTGTTCTAGGCACTGAAGAAAAAGAGGTGAACAAGACAGCTGAAACTTATGGAACTTATCTTCTAGTAAAAGATAAAATACTTCAAAGAAATCACAAAATAGCCCTTGCCTGGTGGCTCAGTTGGTTGGAGTGTTGTCTTGTACACTGAAAGGTGGTGGGTTTCATTACTGGTCAAGGCACATACCTAGGTTGTGGGTTCGATCCCTGGTCAGGGAGCATATGGGAGGCAACCAATTGATGTCTCTTTCTCACATTGATGTTGCACTCTCCCTCTCCCTTCCTCTTTCACTAAAATCAATAAAATCAAAACAATCAATAAAAACATATCCTTGAGTGAAGATTCAAAACAAAACAAACAAAATAAATAAATAAAATAAACTCTATCCTCATTATGACCCCAACACACTCCTCCCTGGATACCTGAAATGAATCTGGAAATCCTTTGAATCTCCATGGGATGGCCGAGAGTAAATAAAAAGCGATGATTATATGTTTTGTTTCCAATTCTCTTTCCTTAAACAGGATGAGATAAAGCTGACAATTTTCTCAGGCAAGGAATGGATTCCCATGCTATGTGCCTCCTCACTTTATGTTCCATTTCTTTGTCACATATGTGAGAGCAAGATGAATCCCAGTCTCTGGCTTGGGAAACACACTTGTTTATGAGATGATGCTTCAGCACTGCCATCTCCTGGTGGGCATAGATATATCAGGTCCCTTGGGAATTGAATGACAGCATTGTTCTAAGACATGAAATCTGCTTTTCTGGCCCTAAACCTCTTTCTTTGCCTTAGGGAGTAAAAAAATATACATATATACATATATACATATCTATACACACACACACAAATATATATGTGTGTGTATATATAGATATAGATATATATATGTATATATATCTTTTAGGATTTATAAGAGCATGATGAAATTTAGTCATCAGGGAAAATTATGTTAGAAAACACATGTCTTCTATAGCTGGACCAGCAAAGAGTGACCTTCTCCTGTCACTTCTCGCTGCTGTTTCTGGACAATGAGTAAGTAGATAGTTAGAAATGTGTACTAGGTCAAGAAGAGATAAAATATATCTTGAAGTTCAAACACAAGTAAAGCCAATAAATGTCAACTCCAGAAACAAAATTTAAAATCATAGAAGTAAAGTGTATAAATTTAGTTTTTGATTGAATCTGACTCTGAACTTTAAGGAAATACAATTCAAGGACAATCATGATAAATTGAAGAA